TCCCAAAGTGCTGGGATTACAGGCTTGAGCCACCGCGCCCGGCTTTTTTTTTTTTTAAGACAGAGTCTCACTCTGTCGCCCAGGCTGGAGTATAGTAGTGAAGAGGGAGACCCAGGCATCCCAGATCAACTTCCCTTTTCCTAAGACTATAAACTTCCCTTTTTCATTCCTAAGACCGCAAACTGAAACTCTTTTCATATGTAATTACTAAGACTGTAAACTGAAACCCTTTTCATATGTAATTCCTAGGACTGTAAACAGAGACCCTTTTCATATGTTAAGCTATAAACCTAAGATTCTTCCAGGTGTAACATCTAAAGTATAAGCCTATATAAAGAAGGAACCTTCCTTTGTTAGGCAAGCTTGGATATCAGGCTCCGGGCCGAATAAACTCCTTCCTCCAATATTCGGTGTCCGAGAGAGAGATCTGTTTCATGTGGTTCTGCTACAGTAGCAGGATGTTGGCTCACTGGAACCTCCGCCTCTTGGGTTCAAGTGATTCTCTTGCCTCAGCCTCCCCAGTAGCTGGGACAACAGGTGTGTGACACCACACCTGGCTAATTTTTTGTATTTTAGTAGAGACAATGTTTCGCCTTGCTAGCCAGGATGGTCTTGATTTCCTGACCTTGTGATCCGCCCACCTTTCAGCCTCCCTTACAGGCCTGAGCCACCAAGCCCAGCCAAATTATTACTTCTTTTCATTTTATTTTTCTGCTCCATGGGAGGTTTCTGTAAGCTATGACCTATGAATTCTTTTTTTTTTTTTTTTTTTTTTTTTTTGAGATGGAGTTTCGCTCTTGTTACCCAGGCTGGAGTGCAATGGCGCGATCTCGGCTCACCGCAACCTCCGCCTCCTGGGCTCAGGCAATTCTCCTGCCTCAGCCTCCTGAGTAGCTGGGATTACAGGCACGTGCAACCATGCCCAGCTAATTTTTTGCACCTTTAGTAGAGACGGGGTTTCACCATGTTGACCAGGATGGTCTCGATCTCTCAACCTCGTGATCCACCGCGCCCGGCCTGACCTATGAATTCTTGATTTACCTTTTTATGGAGAAGACCCTACATTAAGTTCAGCCATGCATGTTAATTGCGAGGCCGGGCATGGCCACCCCACCCAGCCCATTGGGAGGATTGTTAACAAACTGGCCCACATTTACTCTTTAGTTAAAAGCAAGAAATCAGCCAGTCCCCTTGGCTCAAGCTTGTAATCCCAGCACTTTGGAAGGCCAAGAGGGGCAGATCACCTGAGGTGGGGAGACCAGCCTGACCAACATGGAGAAACATACAAAATTAGCTGGGCTTGGTGGCACATGCCTGTAATCCCAAGTACTTGGGAGGCTGAGGAAGAATAATCGCTTGGACCTGGGAGTCAGAGGTTGCAGTAAGCCAAGACTGCATCATTGCACTCCAGCCTGGGCCACAAGAGTGAAATTCTGTTTCATAAAAAAAAAAAAAAAAGCCGGGCGCGGTGGCTCAAGCCTGTAATCCCAGCACTTTGGGAGGCTGAGGCGGGTGGATCACGAGGTCAAGAGATCGAGACCAGCCTGGTCAACATGGTGAAACCCCGTCTCTACTAAAAAATACAAAAAATTAGCTGGGCATGGTGGCGTGTGCCTGTAATCCCAGCTACTCAGGAGGCTGAGGCAGGAGAATTGCCTGAACCCAGGAGGCGGAGGTTGCGGTGAGCCGAGATCATGCCATTGCACTCCAGCCTGGGTTAACAAGAGCGAAACTCCATCTCAAAAAAAAAAAAAAAAAAAAAAAGGGGGGGGCGCGCGCAAGAAATCTACCTTCCAAGGGCATAAAAATAATGTTCAAATTCCTTTGGGAATTTTAAAATGCTTTTAAAGATTTAAAAACCAAACTTTAGAAAGGATTGATTCCCCCTGGCAGCCTCATTTGCATTCTTCTTCTATTCTGTCACAGAATATTTTCAGATATTTCTGTGTGTGTATGTGTGTGTGTTTGAGACAGAGTTTTGCTCTTGTTGCCCAGGCTGGAGTGCAACGGCGCGATCTCGGCTCACCGCAACCTCTGCCTCCCAGGTTCAGCAATTCTCCCGCCTCAGCCTCCCAAGTAACTGGGATTACAGGCATCTGGCACCACATCCTGCTAATTTTTGTATTTTTAGTAAAGAGAGAGTTTCTCCATGTTGGTTGGTCAGGCTGGTCTCCAATTCCTGATCCCAGGTGATCTGCCCACCTCGGCCTCCCAAAGTGCTGAGATCACAGGCATGAACCACCGCACCTAGCCTATTTTCAGTTTTTAATTGGCCTCCACAATTTGATAGGAAGCCATCCTGGTCAACATAGTGAAACCCCGTCTCTACTAAAAATACAAAAAATTAGCTGGGCATGGTGGCGCATGCCTGTAATCCCAGCTACTCAGGAGGCTGAGGCAGGAGAATTGCCTGAACCCAGAAGGCGGAGGTTGCCGTGAGCCGAGACAGCGCCATTGCACTCCAGCCTGGGTAACAAGAGCAAAACTCCGTCTCAAAAAAAAAAAAAAAAAAAGAATCTTCTGGACCTAAAGTTCAAATAAACTTCCTTCAAGATTAAGCTCCTGGGCCGAACTCCCGGGCCTATATATGTAATCCCAACACATTGCTGGAAGACTGAGTTGGGAGGATTCCCTGAGCCCAGGTATTTGAGGTTAAAGTTAGCTACGAAGGCCCAACTGCACTCCAACCTGACAGACAGAGCAATACCTTATCTCTAACAGTAATAATATTAATTGTAAGGTCTTTTAGGCTGACTGACAGTGCCATGGACACTATGTTAACCTCTGTGACCTGCACAGACACTCCAGACGAGTTCCTGGAAAATCTAACTTAACTGGAAGAAGAATAAATGATCAACCCCTGTGGTGCCTACTTAACTTTGAGACATTCTCTATTGTTCCTTATTCTAGCCCTAATTGATAAGGCCATTCAACTCTGTAATGGACCTTCCTTAACAACCTATGACCCCCTCCCAGCTTGCAAACCTACAACCCTCTCCCAGCTTGCAAAAAAACCCGCCCCAAACTGTTAACTTTCCACTGCCCACCCCAAACCTATAAAACCAACTCCTAGCCCACTGCCCTTTGCTGAGGCCCTTTTCAGCCTTAGCCCGCCTGTACCCAGCTGAATAAACAGCCATATTGCTCACACAAAGCCTGTTTAGGGGGTCTCTTGATTCAGCACACGAATTTTAACATTAATAAAAATTTTAAAAATCAAAATATTAAAAGACTTTTCCTGAGCTGAAAAATGGAGAGTTGAAAACAACAAAAACCTTCTAATTGAGCTGGAGCCACTACATCCACACATAAAAAGGATAAACACTCATAAAACAACACACAAAATCTGGAAGCTAACTTAGTGCAAAGGAAGAGTCCATTGTGTCTTATTATCCTACATCTCCCATTGAACGTGTCCAATAAATTCTGTGACCTTAGGAGATGAGTTTTAAACTAAATGTAATGAGAAAATAGGTAATTTCTCTCACTCTCTCTTTTTTTTTTTTTAGACTGAGTTTTGCTCTTGTCGCCCAGGCTGGCATGCAACAGCGCAATCTCGGCTCACTGCAACCTCCGCCTCCCGCGTTCAAGCAATTATTCTGCCTCAGCCTCCCAAGTAGCTGGGATTACAGGCGCCCACCACCACGCCCAGCCAAGTTTTGAATTTTTAGTAGAGACAGGGTTTCACCACGTTGGCCAAGCTGGTCTCGAACTCCTGACCTCCGGTGATCAACCCGTCTCGGCCTCCCTCTCTTTTTTCTTTTTGGCTGTGGGGTGGCCAGACAACGAAGAAATATTACAAGTGAAATGCTACGCTGAATTGACCAAGCTAACTGGGAACTCACTGGAAAAGTGAAAACTGAGGTGAATTAGTGATTAGCTCAAGAAGGTGCTTAGCCACTTACCCCTCTTTAATGAGAATGGATCGCTGGTTTCCACTGGTCGTTCCACTGCCAGTAAGAAGACAGTCGTGAACCTTGGGTCCCTTTTTTCACTAGTCAACAGTCACCCTCACCTACACGCGGAGTACATATTTGGCACTCAACAAATCTTGACTGAATGAAACCCTACCTCACTCATATAGGCACCTAAGCCAGGCGTTATGGCCCCCCCAAATTACCTCCAAAACGCCTGACGACCTAACCCAAAGAGCTGAAAAAGTAGACAGGAAAGCTCCGGGGTGGAGGGGATTCTCTCTCAAACAAGCAAGGCCATGGGGCCTAACACCAACCCAACTTCCCATAGAAAACTCAGGGGCCGAGGGGATTGAACCGCGGCTAATCCCCTTCCACTTCTACGAAGTAGCAGCCAACGGGCCGCAGATCCATAGCCTCCCATCCGGGGGCGCTGAGAGATCTTGGGGTATCTCCCCCTCAAAGTTAGTACCTGCGAAGCTGCGGCACAGAGAGTAGCTCCGGGATCTCATTACGGAGGCCGGGGCCTGGGGCCGGCCAGCCGCGCCACCTGGCTGAGGGTTTCGCGCTCCGCAGCTGCAGTGACGGCACAGGTCGCAGATAGACAACTACGGCTTCAGAAGGGTCCTGACTCGCAGGCCCCAGACGTTTTGCTCCTAGCACTCCGCGAGTTGTCGCACTCACGTCGACTGGCGCCCTTCAGGGCTTCCCTCTGTGGTTAAGCGGTCACTCCTGCCTTTAGCCCAGCAGCCGGTAGCTTCCCGGCGCCGCCATCGTTAGTGTTTGTTTTCATCCGCTTCAGAAAGGCCGAGGTGGGTGGAAGAGGGGTACGGCGGAAATCCAGATGCCTAACCTTAGTCGCACTTTCGGCACAGCATGGAAGCCCTATTTATTCTTTCAGTCCTCTAAATCTCCAGGAAAGTTGATTTCCTTCCCACGTAAGCTTTCTTGTCCAATCTTTCTAAGCTACGCAGGATAAATAAAGACGGAAAAGAGGTGTTTGAGGAGAGAGAGAGACCATTTGGGCCGCATGTGGAATGTGCGGAGACGAACCGCAGGTTGCGGCGGCGGCAACAGTGAGGACGCGGCGTGGGGCGGATGCTGACGTGAAGTGGGCGGTGCCGCTGTTGCGCGCCGTGGCGGCCAGTGTGCGGTTGCCGGTTCCGGAGGAGGGCGCGTTCTGACTGGGTGGGTGGGAAGTATGCATGGTAATCTGGCAGCCTTGGAGAGGTGGGTGACGGGCCTGGGCTGACTGAGTGCCCTGCGCAATCAGACTTTGAGATCCGTTTTTAGGATGCCTTTTAAAAGTAGCGGAGTCGCTTCGCAAACCTGGTTCGGCCACCCTCTTTTTAGCTCCCGACTCCCAAAGTATCTGGTCTTCCCTGCTTCCCGGCCCTCAGCTTCACGATTTGGAGTTCTTGGAGTGAGAGAAAGCCTTTTGTTACAGCACAACGTACGTCCATAAGGCTGGGTCATGTACTTTGTTGTTGGGTTTCTTTTTTTGAGACGGAGTTTCGCTCTTGTTACCCAGGCTGGAGTGCAATGGCGCGATCTCAGCTCACCACAACCTCCGACTCCTGGGTTCAGGCAATTCTCCTGTCTCAGCCTCCTGAGTAGCTGGGATTACAGGCACGCGCCACCATGCCCAGCTAACTTTGTATTTTTAGTAGAGACGGGGTTTCACCTTGTCTTGATGATCAGGATGGTCTTGATTTCCTGACCTCGTGATCCACCCGCCTCGGCCTCCCAAAGTGCTGGGATTACAGGCTTGAGCCACCGCGCCTGGCCTTGTTGGGGTTTTCTTTTGTGCCCCTTCTTGTTAGACTAGTTTGAGCACCCCAACATCTGTCCTGTACTTATCGGGTGGAACCAGAAGTCTTTGGATAATGAAACCCGTGACCAGTTCTTACCTAAGGTGGTTATGACATATGTCAGCTGCTTCTTGGCCTGTGTAGTTAGGAGCCAACCTCTTTTGCCTTGTGAATAACTAGGTAATCATCACCATTAATCTTCGGCTGTTCTCAGTTGAAATGCCGGGCATTAAATGAACCACAAAGATTGAATTTCCATTATCCTTCAAATCAGAGCAAGCCTTTCGTCCAGCCATGAGTTAGAGTAGAAAAATCTAGAATTGTTAAGTACGATACGTTTGCTCCAACAAAATGGAAATTTACAGAAAAGGAGGTGCTGCAGCCTTTGAGTCACTTTAAAGTCTTTTCTAACTTTTTTTTCTTTTAACCTTTACAGAGAGAAGATTACAAATGGCAGAGCCATTTAACTGTGGTTAGCTGTTGGATTCTGATACTTTCTTAAAATTACCTTCTTGCACCAACATCTTCATTGGGAAGGATTCAGAAAAAGTAGGAGAAACGAGAGACAACATTGACATTTACCATGGCAATACCAATAACAGTGCTTGACTGTGACCTCTTGCTGTATGGCCGAGGTCACCGGACACTGGACCGTTTTAAGCTGGATGATGTGACTGATGAATACCTGATGTCCATGTATGGGTTTCCTCGACAGTTCATTTATTACTTGGTGGAGCTCTTGGGGGCGAATCTTTCTAGACCTACTCAGCGATCCAGGGCTATTAGCCCAGAGACACAGATCCTTGCAGCATTGGGTTTTTATACCTCAGGTTCCTTCCAGACTCGGATGGGAGATGCTATTGGAATCAGTCAGGCATCTATGAGTCGTTGTGTTGCCAATGTCACCGAAGCACTTGTGGAAAGGGCCTCACAGTTCATTCGCTTTCCAGCTGATGAAGCCTCCATACAGGCCCTCAAGGATGAATTCTATGGGTTGGCAGGGATGCCAGGGGTGATGGGGGTGGTTGACTGTATCCATGTGGCCATCAAGGCACCAAATGCTGAAGACCTCTCCTATGTGAACCGGAAAGGCCTGCATTCTTTAAACTGCCTAATGGTGTGTGACATCAGAGGGGCACTAATGACCGTGGAGACGAACTGGCCTGGCAGCCTACAGGACTGTGCTGTGCTGCAGCAGTCTTCCCTCAGTAGTCAGTTTGAAGCCGGTATGCACAAAGATAGCTGGCTTCTGGGTAAGTCTGCAGGTGTGAATTTTCATTTTGTTTGGAGGCATAGAAAAGTTATGTAGGCCAGGCGCAGTGGCACACACATGTAATCCCAGCACTTCGGGAGACTGAGGCAGTGGATATCACCTGAGGTCAAGAGTTGGAGACCAGCCTGATCAACATGGTGAAACCTCGTCTCTACTAAAAATAAAAAAATTAGCTGAGCATGGTAGCAGGCGCCCGTAATCCCAGCTACTTAGGAAGGCTGAGGCAGGAGAATCACTTGAACCCAGGAGGCGGAGGTTATTGTGAGCCAAGATGGCACCACTGCACTTCCGCCTGGGCAACAGATCAAAAACTCCATCTCAAAAAAAAAACAAGAAAAGTGGTTAGCCAGGCACGGCAGTAGGCGCCTGTAATCTCACCTACTAGGGAGGCCGAGGCAGGAAAATCTCTTGAACCCAGGAGGCAGAGGTTGCAGTGAGCCGAGATTGCGCCACTGCACTCCAGCCTGGGTGACGGAGTGAGACTGTCTCAAAAAAAAAAAAAAGTGGCTGGGTGTGGTGTCTCACACCTGTAATCCCAACACTTGGGGAGGCTGAGGCTGGCGGATCACCTGAGGTAGAACTTCAAGACCAGCCTGACTGACATGGAGAAACCCCATCTCTACTAAAAATATAAAATTAGCTGGGTGTGGTGGTACATGCCTGTAATCCCAGCTACTCAGGAGGCTGAGGCAGGAGAGTTGCGTGAACCCAGGAGGTGGAGGTTGCAGTGACCCAAGATTGCGCAGTTGCATTCCAGCCTGGCCAACAAGAGTGAAAGTCCATCTCAAAAAAAAAAAAAAAAAGGAAAGTTAACGTAGTGGAGTAGAATGAGATATGGAAGTCTGTAGAGCTGAGTCTCAGGCCTGTTGCTTTTTTTTTTCTTTCTTTCTTTCTTTTTTTTTTTTTTTTGAGAATTTCGCTCTTGTTACCCAGGCTGGAGTGCAATGGAGCGGTCTCAGCTCACCGCAACCTCCGCCTCCTGGGTTGAGGCAATTCTCCTGCCTCGGCCTCCTGAGTAGCTGGGATTACAGGCACGCGCCATCATGCCCAGCTAATTTTTTGTATTTTTAGTAGAGACAGGTTTTCACCATGTTGACCAGGATGGTCTTGATCTCTTGACCTCGTGTTCCACCCGCCTCGGCCTCCCAAAGTGCTGGGATTACAGGCGTGAGCTACCGCACCCGGCCCTAATTTTGTATTTTTAGTAGAGACAGGGTTTTACCATGTTGGTCAGGCTGGTCTCAGTCTCCTGACCTCATGATCCACCTACCTTGGCCTGCCAAAGTGCTGGGATTACAGGAGTAAGCCACTGTGCCTGGCCAAAAACAAAATATTATTAATAAAGATATTTTATGTTATTTTATCCAGCTCTTTTACTCCTAACAATTTATCTTAGAGGTGGCCAGGCATGGTGGCTCATGCCTGTAATCCCAGCACTTTGGGAGGCTAAGGCAATGTGGATCACGAGGTCAGGAGTTGGAGACCACCCTGGCCAGGATGGTGAACCCCATCTCTACTAAAAATACAGAAATTAGCCAGGCGCAGTGGTGGCTAAATAAAAAAATAAAATAAAGCCGGGCGCGGTGGCTCAAGCCTGTAATCCCAGCACTTTGGGAGGCTGAGGCGGGTGGATCATGAGGTCGAGAGATCGAGACCATCCTGGTCAACATGGTGAAACCCCGTCTCTACTAAAAATACAAAAAATCAGCTGGGCATGGTGGCACGTGCCTGTAATCCCAGCTACTCAGGAGGCTGAGGCAGGAGAATTGCCTGAACCCAGGAGACGGAGGTTGCGGTGAGCCGAGTTCGCGCCATTGCACTCCAGCCTGGGTAACAAGAGTGAAACTCCGTCTCAAAAAAAAATAAATAAATAAAATAAAATAAATAAAAATTGTTTAATTGTTGTTAAGAGAGGGTCTTGCTGTCTTGCTCAGGCTACACAAGGTCCAGGCTCAAGTTACCTCTTGCCTTAGCCTCCTAAGTAGCTGGGATTACTAGTAATTCCAACTACCTGGGAGCCTGAGGTAGGAGAATCGCTTGAACCTAGGAGGCAGAGGTTGCAGTGAGCCAAGATCACCCCACTGCACTCTAGCCTGGGCAACAGAGCAAGACTCCACCTCAATAAAAGAGAAGAATTTATCTTAGAGGTATACATTTATATGTATGTAAAACAAAATTGCATAAAAGAATTTTTATTGCAAACAATAGCTACGGCAACAAAAACAAGCACATAAAAACCATCCTGTCTGGGTGTGGTGGTTCATGCCTGTAATCCCAGCACTTTGGGAAGCCAAGGTCAAAGGGTCACTTGAATATAGGAGTTTGACATCAGCCTGGGCGACAAAGCAAGACACTGTCTCTCAGAAAAGTAATGATAATATAAATAAATAAATCAAACAACTCCCTGAAATAAAGCCAAAATACTGCTGGGCACGGTGTCTCATGCCTGTAATTCCATCATCATGGGAGGCTGAGGCAGGCGTATCACCTGAGGTAGGGTGTTCGAGACCAGCCTGACCAACATAGTGAAACTAAAAATACAAAAATTAACAGGGTACAGGCCGGGTGCAGTCGCTCAAGCCTGTAATCCCAGCACTTTGGGAGGCCGAGGCGGGTGGATCACGAGGTCAAGAGATCGAGACCATCCTGGTCAACATAGTGGAACCCTGTCTCTACTAAAAATACAAAAAATTAGCTGGGCATGGTGGCGCGTGCCTGTAATCCCAGCTACTCAGGAAGCTGAGGCAGGAGAATTGCTTGAATCCAGGAGGCAGAGGTTGCAGTGAGCCGAGATTGTGCCATTGCACTCCAGCCTGGGTAACAAGAGCGAAACTCCGTCTCAAAAAAAAAAAAAAAATGAACAGGGCATGGTGGGGCATGCCTGTAATCCCCACCTACTTGGGAGGCTGAGGCAGGAGAATCATTTGAACCCAGAGGGCAGAGGTTACAGTGAGCTTAGATCCCACCACTGCACTCCAGCCTGGGCAACAGAGTGAAACTCCATCTCAAAAAAAAAAACAAAAAGGGAAAAAAAATGCCTGTAATCCCAGCACATTGGGAGGCTGAGGCGGGTGGATCATGAAGTCAAAAGTTCAAGACCAGCCTGGCCAATATAGTGAAAACCCGTCTCTACTAAAAATACAAAAATTAGTCAGGTGTGGTGCTATGTGCCTGTACTCCCAGCTATTCAAGAGGCTGAGGCAGGAGAATCACATGAACCTGGGAGGCAGAGGTTGCGGTGAGCACACCATTTGCACTCCAGCCTGGGTGACAGATGGAGACTTGGTCTCAAAAAAAAGAAGAATCCAACATATTTATCAGGACTGTCCAGAACTGGTTAAGTGTTGTACATCTATACAATTGAGCCTTAATTTTTATCGTCTGTAAAACAATTAAACTGACATCAACCACAGTAATATCTATTGTGAAGATTAGGTAATACACATGAAAATTCCCTATAAATAAAGTATTATATGGATATACAAATGTGGCTGGGCGAGGTGGTTCATGCCTGTAATCCCAGCCCTTTGGGAGGGCAAGGCAGGTGGATCTCCTGAGGTCGGGAGTTTGAGACCAGCCTGACCAAATGAAGAAAACCCATCTCTACTAAAATACAAAATTAATGGGGCATGGTGGCACATGCCTGTAACCCCAGCTAAACGGGAGGCCGAGGCAGGCGAATTGCTCAAACCTGGGAGGCGGAGGTGGTGGTGAGCCAAGATCTTGTCATTGCACTCCAGCCTGGGCAAGAAGAGCAAAACTGTGTCTCAAAAAAAAAAAAAATTATTTTTGAATTCTTCGTTGTCACTATGATATCTGCATAAACATAGTAGTAGACAATGCATGTACACAATTCTTATTGTAGCAATTCACTTCACAGATCTGTCGGAGTTCCACTGGAAAGACTGGCTTAATGTTATGAGTAGGACAAGAATCTATTCAACATTAATCTGTGTGAACCAAGGTGATTGTACAGCTCTGAGGAGTGCAGTTAGTTAGCAGTGATAAAACCCATCAACCCAGCAGCTTATTTTGTTTGTTTGTTTGTTTAGGTGCTACTTTTATATTAGCATCAGGACAAGGGTGTGGTGGTTCATGCCTGTAATCCCAGCACTTTGTATATAACATGAGAGATGAAAGCTATGTTAAGGATTGGAAGATTTAGACTCTAACTTTTTTTTTTTTTTTTTTTGAGATTGGATCTTATTAGGATCTTGTTATGTTGCCTAGGCTGGTCTCAAACTCCTGGCCTCAAGCAATCCTCTGGCCTCAGCTCAGGCTCCTAATACCAGTAGCTGGTATCACAGGCATACACCACCACGCCCAGCTGATCACAACCACTAATCATATCTGCACTGCACATGCTCATAGCACAGTGCTTACCATGTAGTTGATGCTCAGGAAATATTTCTCTTTAACATGTTTACTGGCACTTTAAAGAGAAACCTAGGCCAGGCGTGGTAGCTCACGCCTGTAATCCCAGCACTTTGGGAGGCAAAAGCAGACAGATCACGAGGTCAAGAGATCGAGACCATCCTGGCCAACATGGTAAAAGTTCATCTCTACTAAAAATACAAAAAAAAAAAATTAGCCAGGCGTGGTGGTAGTCCCAGCTACCTGGGAGGTCTGAGGTCCTTCTGGGACTACATGTCTGTAGTCCCAGTTACCTGGGAGGCTAAGGCAGGAGAATTGCTTGAAACCAGAAAACAGAAGTTGCAGTGAGCCAGGATCACTCACGCTACTGCACTCCAGCCTGGCTATAGAGTGAGACTCCATCTCAAAAAAAAAAAAAAAAAAAAGAGGCCGGACGCGGTGGCTCATGCCTGTAATCCCAGCACTTTGGGAGGCCAAGGCGGGTGGATCACAAGGTCAAGAGATCGAGACCATCCTGGTCAACATGGTGAAACCCCATCTCTACTAAAAATACAAAAAATTAGCTGGGCATGGTGGCACTGTGCCTGTAATCCCACCTACTCAGGA